CGATTTCCAAAATGTCCATAATTCCGAAAATGTTTGAAGCACTAATTACAAAAAAATTGTCTTTAATTATGACTCCCCTCATTTCTAATAACCAACATGGTTTCAGACCCAAAATGTCAGTTTCTACAAATATTCTACTTTTTCAGGAGAAAATTCTTTCGGCTTTAAATCAACGTGTTCAATTGGACACTATTTATACAGACTTTCAGAAAGCGTTTGATAAAGTAAACCACAATATTCTATTACATAAATTATCTTGTGTTGGTATTCATGGTACATTTTTTAATTGGTTAAAATCTTACCTATATTCTCGTACCCAGGTGGTTAAAATTAATAGTTTTATTTCTAATGAATTTTTGGTTACTTCTGGTGTACCACAAGGGTCGCACTTAGGTCCCCTCTTATTCATACTATTTATAAATGATTTACCATCTATTTTTGATAGCTCAGTTAATATTCTATTATTTGCTGATGATGTCAAATTATTTTCAGTTATTAAATCACCAAAAGATGCAATAAAATTGCAGTCAAATTTAGATAAATTTGTTGAATGGAGTCGTGTTAATTACCTTCCATTAAATATAAATAAGTGTAGTGTGATTACGTTTTCCCGAATAAATAATATAATCACCTATAATTATTTGATTGATAGTAATATAGTTACAAGAGTTGCCTCTATCAGAGACTTAGGGATAATCTTAAATTTTAATTTGGATTTTTCCACCCATATTAACACCTTTATTAAAAAAGCTTTTAAGATGCTTGGTTTTATTAATAGAAGCACGATAAATTTTAAAAATATTAATGCCTTAAAAACTTTATATTTTTCCTTGGTTAGATCTCATCTTGAGTATGGATCAATTGTTTGGTCACCACACTATATATCATGTACCAGTCGAATTGAAAATGTTCAGTATAAGTTTTTAAAATTTTTATGTTTTAAATTAAATATACCCATCTCAAGAGAATCATACAAGTTGCAGATTTCCCAATTGGGGATCGTGTCTTGTGATTTGAGGAGAAATGTTGCGGATATAATGTTCCTGTATGACTTATTAAATGGTCTTATTTATTCTCCAGAATTATTATCTCACATTGGTTTTAATGTACATACTCACGTATTAAGAAAATCTAATTTTTTTCATATTTCTCTTCCTAAAAATATTTATACTTCCTCCTCGTTTTTCCCAAGAGCTCTATCTTTGGCTAACAAAATTATGGATCATATCGATTTTTTTTCTATGTCGCGTTTTGTATTTAGACAAAATGTTTATTTGGCTTTAAATTTAAATTCAAATTCTCTTGGATAATTTATTATTTTATATTTTATTATATTTTTATTCACTACAAACATATCATTATTATTTCTTTTTTTGTAACTGTTTATGTTATTATTGATTTTTACTGTACTTATTAATATTCTTATTGTAAAAGGGTTAACACCCGTATATTATACATAAATAAATAAATAATATAGTATAATTAATAAAATACTGTGTAATATTATTGAATGTATATATGAATGTAATTATAAAAAATATAGTTGCTATGTGTAAAAAGTTCCACTATTATGTTATGATTTTTCACATTCATAAATCTTTCCATTCAAAGATATTTAGAAGATGTCTAGAAAACATTGATTTTAATCCAAATCCTAATTCTGATAGAAAATCTTACATTTTACAAATATTCTGTAAATATTCTTTGTCCATACCAATTGATATATTGTTCAATCGCTCTTAGAACTTGAAAAAGTTCAAACTTAATGGGAAAACAGTTTTGTAACGTCCATTTATTTTTCCATTTACATTCATCTTCTAATTTGACAGGGGAATCAATTAATTCATCAAAAAAATCTTGGGAATTAACTCATGGACACCATCTTTAGCATTAAAACGTAGAATTGCAGAATTATTACTTTTTAGCTTCGATGCGAAACTGAGAAGGTATTGGTTTTACTAAGATGTGTTTATTTATTTATTTTTTTTTTAGCTTCGATGCGAAGCTGAGGAGGTATTGGTTTTACTAAGATGTGTTTTTTTTTTTTTTTTTTGTGTCTGTTACCACTTTTTCTCAGCTCTCACCGAACCGATTTCTTTCAATGATACGTCAAAAGATCACAAATCGTATCTAGTCGAAGACATTACCCTTAAAAATTGAAAAAAATTCCCTCGTTCCCCGTAAATGGGGGAAACCTCCAAAAAAATTACAAATTTAAAAATCGCTAATTTTCGTAATTTTTTCAATTTTTTTTACTTAAAAGTGCCATAACTTTTTCAAAAATGAACATATTAATATAATTTTTTTTTATAGATGCTTGATGTCTTTATCTATCATTTGGTATATATTTTTTGTAAATCTGACACTTAACTTGCCCACAGGGGGGGATTTAAAATGACAACTTTTTCACAAAAAATTAACTTTTTCAGCTTAACTTTTGAAAGTGTTCCGGAAAGTCTAACACTTTTATATATATCTTAAATTAAAGGTAATGTAATATACTTTAATTTGAAAAAAAAAAATTGTCCTCTGGTCTTGTCTTTATGGTGAAAATGGCTACCGAATGCTATTTTTGTGTGAAAATTTCTAGATATTATATTTTACATTTTTAACTTTATAATGCTATAACTTATTGAAAAGTTTATGGATCAACACAATTTTTTTATAAGAAATAATATTTTTTAATAATCCCTTTTTCATTCAGGATATAAATAAGGAAATAGCAGATCATGTAGCTTTTGGAATAATCCACCAATTTTTAAAATTAAACAATATCTAAATATTTGCATCGAAGCGTTTTTTATGATAGTGATTTTAATCACTGTCAGATATCATTATACTTGATCCAACTATGCTACGTCACCACTGTGCCGCGACCCCCCTGAGCTGGGTCTTTTAAGTTGATATGACCTTATTTCTTGTCCAATGCTTTTGCAAAAGATTAATTTCCATAC